AAGCCTCACAAGTTTGAGCGGTTGGACTGTGTTTCTGAACGTCGTCCTCACCGTTTAGGGCCTGTTAATAGGATTTCTTGATGTGTTGCTTGCTTTGGAGGTGCCTGTTCATAGTAGTCCTCATTGCATATATAAGGATGCTGAATGTTAGGGTCTATATCAGGGTCTTGCATTTTCTGAAACTCCTTATTGCTCTGAGCCCTGCTACATCCCAGACCGCTGAGTTGCAAGATTGACAAGTCCACAGATGGATCCACATCGAAGGTGATCGTGCCCCCAAGGTAGCCACAGCGGGTGTCATTGTCAGTGAAGTTCACATCCTCGACAAGGTGGCAGAGGGTCGGGGCTTTTAGGATTTAGGGTGTGGGGTTTAAGGTTTAGGGTTTAGGGTTCGGTTGGAGATTTAGGGTTTGGGGTGTGCGCTTCTTCCTGTTCAGTCGGTTGGGTTGGAATAACTGCAAGAGAACCAGGCTCTTGATACTCGGATCCCTGCCACAGCCCTTGCCGTGAGGGGAGGGACGACCAGTGGTCTGCATGGGTAGTTCTCCAGGGTCCCTCGGTTTAGGGTTCAGGATTCGGCGTGTAGGATTCAGGGAGTAGAACTCAGTATCCCTCCTATAGAAGCCCTTAAAGGTCCCTTTAAGGAACCTCATAAGGGACCCTAATTCAGAGAACTACCCACATTACTCATACCATCCACCGGCAGGCTTTGACATTCGGAGGCCAAGCTCCCATCCCGAACCCTAAACCCTAAACCCTAAACCCCAAACCCTAAACCCTAAACCCCAAACCCTAAACCCTGGCCCTAAACCCTAAACCCTAAACCCCAAACCGTGCTGACGAGGGTACCATCTGAAATCTGGAACCCTCGACGAGAAAAGCTCACAAACCGTCAACTTCGACTTGTGCTCACACGGTTTAGAGTTTAGGGTTCAGGGTTGAGGGTTTAGGGTTCAGGGTTTAAGGCTTTGGGTTTAGGTGTTTAGGGTTTAGGTGTTTAGGGTTTAGGGGCCACTAAGCCAGAATGCCCGGAATCTGTAACCCTCATGCGGCTTAGGTCTTACGGCTTCTAGCACTGGAAAACCCTTCGATCTCCACCTTTCGACCGCGCCACCCGGATTGAAAGATTTATAGAAACTCTTCTGCCTCATTACGCCCCAAACCCTCAACCCTCAGCCCTAAGCCCTGAGCCCCAAACCCTGAACCCTAAACCCTGAAGCCTCAACCCTAAGCCCGCAACCCTCAGCCCTGAACCCTAAGCCTTAAACCCTGAACCCTAAACCCTGAAGCCTGAACCCAAAGCCCTCAGCCCTAAACCCTGAGCAGTAAAGCCCTGAACCCTGAGCCTGAACCCTAAGCCTTAGTATAGTGTAGGGCTGAATAATTTGAATCGGGTTTTTGGGGCCCATTATACTACAATCATAAGAAGGAACCCCCAAAATAATAATGGTAATTATGCGATAATCATAATAAGGAACCCTCAAAAATA